GTATAACAGAAAACCCGTTTCAGGATCATCCTTAAAATGCGCAAAGAATTTTTTTAAGAAAAGCAACAAAACCAAAAGAAAAAGTACGTGTTTAATCATACAATACTTGGAGAAAAACCTAAATTGCTCAAGTAAAGCAGATCTATTACCAGGGGATAAATCAAATGCATCGAGCAAACTTATTTATCCTATTCAGCTTAAGTTTTTTGCTATCATCATTTCCTTTTTTAACCCAACTAAAAAAAAATCAGAAAAACTTCTGTTGACCGGAAAGGAAGCATCCGTTAGTGGCGAACAGAATGGCCGAATTAACTGGCTGAAGCGGGATCATCCTTAAAATGCATTCTAAGGCGAAGTGGGAGAAAGACGAATATCTCACATCACTTTTAGCAGAGGTTTCCCGTAAACAACCTTCATAAAGCTCCAATTCTCCATGTCGATTCGCAGCTGCAACTGACTGATGCAGTCTTTGCCCATTCACTTAGTACTACAAAATTACACCAAGCAAATTATCACAATTTTTTAACACCTTTTTTTTTTATCAGACTGTTCTTTTCTTCAGCAAAAATTTTCGATTTTACGGATCAAAACCGTCTGTTGCACAATTAGACAACTATCCTTTCCACAAGACTATCATTCACCAAAACAATGGTATGAATTTCCGATCAGCACCTAGAAGTAACTCAAACCATCTTAAATGTTACAAAAACCCCGTTGAAATCAAAAAAAATTTTCACTTTTACTTTCCACTTCAAAACCACAGCTAAAAAGACGAATCAATAAAATGCCCATAAAGCAAAGAAAAAAATTTCTTTCTTTTCGTAAAAAGAAGATTATTAAATTATTGGTTGATCATGACCAAAATTCTAAATTTCAACGACAGCTTTGTAGTCAAAACAGCTCGTCTATACTTTAACAAAAATAGTTGCCCTCTATCGTCCACTATAAGCATTTTTCCAAAATAAAATTGGAAAGAAACCTCAAAATAAATTAGCGACAGTATTATTCCAACAAAATTAACCAACTTTACAAGACAGAGGAATAAACGTTCCTAAACAAAATACATTCAAGATTTATTTAATCTTATAAAAATAAAAAAAAATTGCTGACGATAATAATTATAAGAAAAGAAATACTGACCAGAAAAAAAAAAAACAATAACAAAAATAAACACAGATAATGCCACAAAAACTGTCTACAAAAGCTGTTTTGTATTCCGTGATTCAAACAAACACCACCCAGACACCAACACAGACATAGATACACCAACAGCAAATAGAATCCTAAAACACTAGAAACAATTACAATAATTGAAAAAAATTTCTTGTCTGAAAATTACAAGCAAAAAAATAGCACTAATAAACTGCAACAGCAGTTGCAGCAACAACGATGACAACAACAGCAACAATAATGAAGATTTTAAATTATACTACCTTGTAACAAATACATAAAGGATACAAGCATGTTGAGCTAATAATCGAAATTGTTAGGGATATCTATGTAATGTCGCTCAACAATACGAAGAAATAGCCATATACACCAACAAGGCTTTCAAAACGCATCTATAAATACACAGACGGCAGACAATAAATGCATTAACTAATTCAGTACCTACCCCAAAATACTGAAGGTTCTGCCTCTGCTCTCTCTATCTGCCTTTAAAAGGGTTCACCAGAACAATTCAGGAAATAAACTTGACGAACCTAAACTGCATTTAGAGTACAGCACTTTTTCATGTCATCAAAAAAAGTGCAAATTCACCACCTGTTGACGCAGTCACCAATGACACCAGCAGTCTGCAGCAAATATCACCATCATCAGCAATAACAATATTAATATAGGTAACCTGTACAGAATACTTCACCGTGTCTAATCTTTTCTCTCGATCGATTCATTAATTTTAGCTATCAAAGCTGATTCCCATACATCCTTACTGCTGACTAACTAAATAACCAACTCAGTAATCAATTACTTCACTGACCGTATGGCTAACCAAATAACCAGCCAAACAGTTAACTGACTAAGTGACTGACCGAGCAGCTAACTGACTGACTGGGCGGATTGAACGAATGACTAGCTGGCAGACTGACTGACTGAATGACTCCACACGGCAACCATAATACCTGCAGCGGCAAAGTTTTTCGGCTTTTTGGAGAAACGAGCCCAACGGCTGTCGTAAGCTTATAAGAAATTGCTTACCTTTTCCTTCATCTCTTCTTTTTTTTTTTTTT